AGTTGGGAAGAAAAAGTGATTGTACTCTGAGATAAAGTTTACATTTTCTAGGAGAAGGTCATTATTATAATTATATTCCTGAAAACATATTACAAAATCTTTCACTTTGTCAACCAAAGAATGAAAGATGGTTGATATAGACAAAGTTGAATTTCTTAACATTTTTGGTTCACTATTTCTAACAAAAATCCACAATAATATCAGAAATAGGTGATAATAAATATCAGCTGGAGCTGTTAAGAAGTAATACTAACAGATGGGTAAATGGAACAATGAAATAACCTATTTACAGTCAGCATGCAGCAAATGTACAGGTGCTAAAACAAACTTGTATACATTTGATTCATTCACTGTGACAAGAAGGTAAATCATTCTTTACAAAGGTCTTAAATAACTGATGTGCAGTTTAGTTTAGTCTGGAAGTCAGAAATTTTGAGTGGCGTTGCAGCTTTCAGGAAGATGTTCTTGGAAAACGTACTGCTTTTACACAACTCAAGGCTACAGTGACAGTTTGGTTTACATTACCACTTTCATGGGACCAGCTCACTCAGAATGGTTGATCAGTCTCATATAAGTACTTCAAGTAAAACAACATTTAAAAAGGTTTACTGAATGTAGTAGAAATTTTCAGCTGTTTTTCATTTGAATGGGGGGGAAAGTGCCTCATTTTTCATGGGGTCTAAAATGAGCACAGCGTACACCTGTGGGTGTGGGAGGGGCTACTGGAAATAATCATCAATGATGGCAGATTTCCAGATTTAATTGATTTTCAGTAACAACTCCAATTTGTGCTAACTGTGCTGCTAACAGTAATTTAATTCAAGTGTTGACCGATTGGGTTCACATTCACAAGACTGAGACACCGAAAAAGAAAAAAACTAAACAAGACTTCTCCATGTCAGCAACAGATTTGATAATCTCAGCAGACGCCCTGATGTGAATTTAAGAGGACATCAGAGCAACATGAAGTGGTTACAGCAGGCTCAAAGTGTTTAACACAGTTGTCAATACTAATTATTTTAAAGAGCTGAAATATATTTTTTGGCCTTTTTAAAGAGTAACTTTTCTCCTTTGACCTTGTAAAATACTTAATTTCTTCTTGAAATGGCAATTTTTGACTTCATGGGGTTTTTTTCACTTGTAATATTTTGATCCTTTTCCTTGTAAAATTAAAACTTTAGTCTCATAACTTTTTCCGATTCCCATCAAATCAAAGCTTCTTTCTCAAAGTATCAGTGGTCCAAACACTCCAGGTGTAAAAATCGAAATAACAAGCACTTGTAGTTGCAGCTGTAGCGGGCAGCTGGCAGAGGAGAGGGACGGGGACGCCTGCTTATTGATACAACTCAAACTCACACTTCTCCCTCCTTTACCTCGAACCTTCGCTCCCCTCTGAACGTTAGCTGCCAGTGACATCGCTGATGATAAATAGAAAAACATGAAGTGGATTCCATTCGTTTGAGTCCGTTCAGCGTATCTGACCTCCTCTGTCCATGGAGGCGAGAGGAGATGGTGACTTTTCACTCCACTCTGGGCTCTGTATTGCACTCAGACAATCTGTTTTCTGTTCTTTTTTAAGAACCATGTATCCTCTGCTGAATTGAGCTCGGTGCAAACTGTTGGTCATAACCCTTTAAATCTGTACCAGTGTCTCTTTACAGAGGCGGCACGCTTTCAGCTTTTAAATAACACACACACAGAAGCTGGTGGGAAGAAGTGTGTGTGTGTGTGAGGGCAGCATTGCATTGATACTGTAGCAAGATGAACAAACAGGTTTGGAAGAGTTCCTGCTGACCACACATTCAAAAATGAGGTGTTCTTATTTTTTTATTCACATGATTTTGTGTTGTTTATTGACGGAACATATTGTGTTTGCCTGCCATTAACCCAGCTGCTGCTGCAAGAGACATGCAGCTGCTTAACCCTGAAGAATGATCAGAATTTCTGCAGCAACTCCTCCTAAAACATGCTCCGACGTTCATCTCAGTAACACACACTTCTCGTGCCTTTCTTTTAAACAGAATCTCTCAGCGCAGGCTTGAAAAAAGTAGCTCCTCTGGCTATGTTGAACCTCGTTTAGCAAGAACAACCTCCATGCTTCCTAACGCTGTTTCTGATGGTGCCTTCACACCAAAAGCAAAGAAAAATTTAATGCTGGACAAACGTTTCTGCAAAACATCTTCTAGAACTGGCTGTGTTTTCATCACATACCGTGAGGCTTCATATTTCTGTGATGTCAGCATTAAACAGCAGTCTTCTCGCTAAAACACCTCAGGCTAAAATCAGATTTTTTTGTTATTATTTTGCCATATCAACCTCATTGTGGACTGCTGCACTGATATTCTCTTCTAAATGTGTAGAAGAGAAAAATACCAACATTTATTTCATACTTTAGTAGTGGAATAAAAGTACTTGGTTACATCAGAGCCCTTGTAGATTTAAGTCTTGGCACCTCTTTAATAATCCATTTAATTTGAAGTCCCCATCTGAATTTGCTTTTCCCCAGATATAAAAACCAGTCACCAGGCAAGACAAATAAACACTGCTTTAAAACTTTGGGGACTTCGCCCTGTTACCCTGCAGTTATCTTTGTACTGTGCATGCAGCATGCATCTGTGTCCAATAGGAAAAACATATGTAGCTCTAGGCAGATGACCGGCCCTCCTTAGTTTGGTTCAACTGGATGTTTCTTCCTGTTAAAAAGGAAATTTTCCTTCCCACCATCGTTTGATTGCTCATAGGGAATTAACAGATTGCTGGAGTTTTCTCTCTAATATTGTCGGGTTTTAACAGTATAAAGCAACTTGAGGTGACTGTTAAGATTTATTCATCATGCCCTCTGTAGTGGACAAAAGTTAAACTGAAAGATACTTTTCCCCCCTCGGATATAGATGAAACACAACTTTGTAAATTGTTGATTGGCTCTATGGGCTTAGGAGCAGAATTCATAACACTCACATTTCTGTTTCTATATTCTCTGAATGCCGTCACGTTCCTGGATGTCATATCTGGTTACGTTGTAGCTGAATGAGAAATTATCCAAAAAAAGAGAGACTGATGAGAAGAGAGAGGGGAAAAAACAAACACCTTCATTGCATTATTGTCGTACGTTTCTTCTTCGGGGCATCCAGCAGCCAAAACCATGTTGCTCCCTCCACTGTGCTTCAGTTGGGATGATTTGTTGAATGTCCAAGATGTTTTACACTTTTTTTGTTTTTCGTAAACAGCATCTATCTGTTAAAAGATTTCTTAATTGCTGACATTGGACACTTTAAACAAAGGTTTTAGTCATGTTAGATGTGTTTCTGTGTTCGGTTTTGTAGACAGTTTGTCTTAAATGTCAGTCAGCAAGCTGAAAACCCCATCGTCAGTTTGTGCCTTTTAATAGGAGCTGCATCTCTACAAACCATACACCGGCTCCATACAGAAACACCTGAAATTACGAGTTTGTGTGTGTTACTTCAGTCACACCGCGTTTGTCTGCAATTGTGACTGAGAGGAAAGTCGGAGCACGTTTTGAGGAGTGGGTGCAGAAGTCGTGCTGTTTCTTATGGGTTAATCACTGTTGTCCTGCAGCCGTGGTCCTGCCCGCGCTCACGGCCCCCTCCCCCCCAAAGTTAAGTGTACATGAGGGTGCAGCGTATGTATATACAGTGAAAAAGAAAGTTTATTTTTTCAAAACTTGTACATTTTTTTGAGCAATCTGATGTTTGAAAATGTTTTATTTTTATGATGGGTGGGCGGGTGTGAAGCTTTGAGAAGCGCGTGCCCTGGGTAAACCGGCAGGAAGCGCGCACGAGACAGAGCCTCGCACCTTCCGGCTTTCGGAGCTGGCTGTAAAGACAAACAAACGAAAGTAAGAGAGAGGAAAGGGAAAATGGGGGAACTCTTTAAGGGCATTGGCAATAAGCTATACCGTGTGTTGCAGCTATCTGTACAGAAACACTTCATTAGTTTCTTTTTTTTTTTAGATTCCAAACTTGTGCAGCCTCACACAGCAGCTGCTTCAGACTCGGAAAAAAACGAAAAACAAGGAATGTTCTAAATATGTTTTCTCTCTTTGGTTGTCGTCTGAGATTCGTTTTTAAAAACCAAATGTAAATAGAGTTGTAAATAAGGTGCTCTTTCTCTTTATCTAGAACAGCCGAGTGAACCTTTTGGTGCATAGCTGTACAGTAATCTAGCCTTATGATAATTACTGTAGTAAAACCGTATGGGTGTCTCAGCTAAAAATAAAGCTGCGTGAGGAAAAACGATCCGATTCTGTTCATACCGTCGAGTCTGTTTGACTGTTGTCTTACTCAGCTGTATCCAGGTGAATGACGTGCATGTGTTTCAATGTTTGACATTCAATGACACTGAGGACAGAATCAGGCAGAAATGTAACCGGACCAAAAAGCAACAGAAGAAGAAGAAAATGGTTGAGTTGGAACTGACAAATTTTCAGTGTATTATTCTGTAGTTGATACCTGTTGTCAGATGTTACATATAGCTATGGTAATATCAAAAATAAAATGTGGGAAACTGTCTGTTACACTCAAGTCTCCGGGTCTTTCTTTTTAAATCATCTGTCCTGACCAGTTTGGCGTGTGGGGAAAAATGTGGACAAGAATGTTAATATTAGAAATGATTCACTGATTTGAAAATCAATATAACCAATAATTTCTTACAGATTCCAGATTAACTGTCTCTCAGCTTTTTAATCCGTGTGGGTCAGCATATGTGTCAGTGAAGGTGTTGAAAAGCAGCGAGCGGTGATTAACGGTCTGCGTGACACCGAGGAGGTTTACTCTCTACGTTTGGCAACCTCAGCTCTCCCCCTCACTGCTCAAGTAACCAAGAAGTTTCCAGAGCAGATGGTGCGGTACAACTTTATTCAGAGTTTATCATTTTAAGAGCTCTCCATTTCCTGTCCTCACAAACGACATCAACCAGGAATAAAGAGCAGTTGGACTGAGACGGGACACTTCCAATAAGTACAAACACAGAGCAGATACAGCTGGTTTCTTTGGTTGTGAGTTTATTCGAGCATTGGACTATTCAAATCTGGTGTTACATGTTTTTTGCCATGTAAATAGAGCATATAAAAGCAAATATTTGGGACTGCATTGCATTCCAAGGCACCTGGGAGTTTCATAAGAGTGCATTGAAAACATATCCTGCTCTAAGACTGCTCAATAACATCTCTTGGGTATGGAAGCAAAGGAAGGCCAAGACATGGATCATATTGTGAGATTTAACATTTACTGAAGAACCGGTCATGTTGATAAATGCGCATTCTAAACTTTACTTTTAAAGACTTCTGTGTGAGTTGATGTGTGAAGGTCATTTAGAGTTTTGCCATGTTACAGACCAAACTAATTACATCAGGATCAAATCCACATCATTGAGTGTGTCGATGGCTGCATTGAACCTTTACATCTTTTTGGCCTTTTTTTGCCTCCATACTTGCTGTGCTGAGGATAAAAAGCAGATTAGATTGTTGAGGCGAGATACAATCAGGTCAGGTGATTATTAGTTATTACATCCTGAAGGCTTAGAACTCCTTATTTATTCTAACTGCAGTTCACAAAGTTTAACACTTGAACACTGAACCAAACCCGAAGTGACTTCAGCGGCAGAAGAACAGAACATAACAGAAATTACTTAATCAAAAGATTTGGATATAAAATCGTTGTTTTCTACAGTATATCATGTGTACAGCATCCCTCTGTGATTTGAACATCTGTCGCATTTATCTCATCTCCTGTACACGCACCACTGCAACACAAAACATGGTACATCCAATTTAAAGAGCAACGTATAACATTTGGTACACAGCAATGAACCTGAATCAACCGTCATGTATGCTTCACAAAACTGTACAACTAGTCAATGGTGCAGTGAAGATATTGCAGATTAACAGTACAAGCCAGTGTGAGGGAATGGGGGAAACAACAGCCACGCAACTCCAAAGGTAACACTTTTGTTCTTGTGAATACATACACATGTAGAGCGAGGTTCAGAACGGTAATGTAAACCACAGTGTGTCATCATCAGTATCTGCAGGCACACCTATCCTCCTCACTGGACAGTCTTACTGAGCTGCGAGGCTTCCAGCATTTTCTGAAACACAAAAGACAAACGGCAACATTCATTCAGTTTACTGCAGAAAACCTCTGTGTGCACGTGTGGTTAGTAATATAAAAGGGCAGCTCATGTTAGGTATGCATATTAGTGGAATGAAAGCAGAGCTAGTCCTTCACACTAAATTCTGGTAGGAAGGAGCTTTGGACATTAGCAGGCTGCAGTGAAACTACTTGCTCCTTCGCTCACCTTTAAAGTAAAGTTACCACGGATTGTTTATTGAAGTTTTATTAAATATGAATAAAACTGTGTTACTAAGACCTTAAACTCATAGAAAAAGTGTCTATAGAGGTGGAGTCAGAAAGCTGTTTTCCTGTAGCCTCCTATGGGACTGGAAGTCTTTTTGCAACCACAGGTATCGCCATCTGGTGGCCTTCAGTTAAAATGCAGGTTTAAGGCACTAATGCATTGCCGTCATTTTTTCTTTCTGCAGGTCACTGAAGTGTTACTGTTGAGGTGAAGAACAAATATTTCAACCTCTACATCACATTAATATGATGTTGATTGGAGCTGCGTTTGTAGTTGCTTGTAGTGCCCAAAGCAGTCGAGCCCTTTAAGTAGCTCAGAAATAATCAGACTAAAGCCTGGGTTGCTCTGGTTTGTAACAGCTTGAAAACAAAGATGATGGTAGTTGAGCTGTTTGAACTGATAAAGGAAGGTAGCCATGACAAATGCTTCGTTTTCCATTTCTCAGTCTTGCACACAATGTTCCCCTGCGGGGTTCATGTAAACTCCACTTTACTGGATGGTGATACCTGTTTTATAAGTCTCCCACAGTGTTTCTGTTTCCTAAAATGACATTATGTTGTGAGCAGTGAGAGGACCTGGATTTTTTTTATTCACATTTTATTACATGTTTGGCTGCGGGGTCTGGTCATTCTCCTGCAGATGGAGCCTGTCAGAGAGCGAGGACTGGCTCTCGGGATCAGACAGAAGCAAAACAACAAATCTCTACTGCTCTGCTAACTACATGTTTCTCTAAGAGGACTGTAGGACAGTGTAGCTCATCTTCATCGATGCAAGCTTTAGTTACACTGTAAGCAAAAACCTGATCCTCTGTCACAGATCTGATTTTGTCACAGCTGTCCAAACCCCACAGGTCTGCCTGCTGGAACTTTTTCCACAAGGTCACACAGGAGCTCAGAGAGGAGGACATATACAGACTAAATGGAGGTGTAGTCTAATAGTGCGGACAGTTTTTGGCTCAAGCTGGCCTTAACAGTTCCAGCTCACACTTTAAGAAATTACTGCGCAGGACTTTGCCAAGATCAGCATTAAGGGAAGAGGGGCATCTTCAGACTCATGTTTTAATCAAATAATTCCTCCGAGCTTCTGGCAAGAGGTTAATGAATGTATTCTATTGCAAACAAAATCTAAAGCCTGGTTTTACATCATACAAGTTAAATGTAATTCTTGCAGACTGGACAAGGTAAAGCAAATACGTTTTCAACTGTTTAATTATTATAATTCAGTTTTGTTTTTCCCTCAACATAAGGGATACTTGCATCATTCAGGACAGAAACAGGCCACTGTTGTTAGTCAGATAAAGGTGCATTGCTTTCTCTGGGTAGTGGACGAGTTGCTGCGTAGAGGGCACTGTCATCGGCAGATTGACAGGCAGACTGGTTCAGCATGTCTACAGATATCTTAGCCCAAAGGTGAATCTGTTGATCTACATTCCTACCCTTCACCTACAGCAATGAGCTGGAGCTAATGCCTGGAAAAGTGAAACAGAAATACTTCTACAGATAGAAGTGGCTGAGAAAGGGTGTCTGAGCTCATCCTCAGCAATGGGGCAAGAAGCTGAGTCATTCAATAAGAGCTCAGAATAGAGCTGCTACTCCTTCACATTAAAAAGGAGCCAATTACGGTGGTTCAGACATTTGACCAGCATGCCTCCTGGATGCCTTACATGTGATCTGAGAAGACCCTGGGGCAGACCCAGGACGTGCTAAAGGTCTGGGTGGGTGGATGGACTGTGAAATGTTCACACTGACAAGCAGGATGAATGATCAAAGCTAGAAAATGTACATATATGTATGAACACGTGGTCTCGAGTCAGCAAAGTAGTTCTTACAAAGTTCTACACAAACTGACAGACAAAGACAGTGATGCCGTGTCTACACTGAGGGCTAAAAACACTATTAGCACAGGTCCAGCTGATCACATTAAAGCAACGCTTTAGAGGCTGACAGCTACACCGACACAACTGTGTTTTGCCTTTTCAGACAATCTGCTTTTATGAAAAACACTTGGATATTCTGTTAAAAACAAAAAAAAAATGAAACTAAGTTGATTCATTTATTTTGAAAAACAAATATTTTTGAAAAATGGTTTTTCACACATTTTATATTCCTAAAACCACAGATTAACAATTCAAATGATAGTTTGTATCAAGATCCTGCCTTGATACAAACACAGCTCATTACGATGAAAATCTTAGATAAAGCATCATCTCTTGCTCTCAGTGCTGTCTACAGACCTTCGCCTCTGAACCCAGAGCCACTGCTAGCCCTGCTAATAGTCTGAAAACGTCATTATTCATCAGCGAGGACAGAAAGCAGGACTTTAAAAACCCACAGCACAAACTCACACACAAACACACACAGAGTTGTGTCTCCATGTGTTTGGAGGGCGTTACATTAGATATTTCACAGCGACTTATTTAAACCTTTACCATAATTAGTGCCCAGCCTTACTCTAACCTTACACTGACCCTAAACTCGGACTAGTTACATTACTGTGGAGTTTAACTGAAGCTACAACATGAGTAAAATAAACGCTAAAACAAGCTAGTCCACCTTCCACACCAGAGTCAACCCTCGCAACACACGTGACCACCAAAGACATTTTTGTTTGGGACCAAAGAACTCTGGGGACACCTCTAGATCAAACATCATACAGATGTAACACAGTGTGAGGTACTTGAGAGTACCTACCCTGAGGGAGGAGCAAAAAAAACCAACAACCCGCAAATACTCCCAAAACATGCACATATGCATTTGTGAATGAAGGTTGGAGTCTTTACACACACACTTATTAGCGTCGTGAGGGATGCTGTGTTCTCCTCTGTGAAAATGAATTGTGTGTGCATGTGACAAATGCTGCACTGCTAAGCTGCAATGTCTTGTCAAGGTCTGAGGTGTTGTTACAAAGTGTGTAGTATGAAGAGTGCACAGCTCTCTGTTGTGGACCGATTCTGCTGAGTGTTCATCCCTGACTGCTGACTCTGACTTAAAGGAGCTCAGGACCTTATTTAAAGCCCAGTCGCCCCCACCCCCACAAAACTTCAATCAAACTAGGAGGCTCAAATCTGGGAACCCATCACTTTGTAATTAAGTAATTAAGTTTTTCAGGCAATGAGCAATTGTTCCTGGCTTCAGTGTCCCTAGCAGATACGCAGATCAAGACATCCTGTTCTATCAATCGCTCACCATTTAGGTCAGCGGTCCTCAACCCCCGGGCCACGGACCGGTACCGGTCCATGAGTCGTTTGGTACCGGGCCGCGAGAGTTGAGACTCGGGTGTGAAATGTATGGTTTTTATCTTTTTTTTCGTTAACTCAGTTTTCCTGGGTCTTTTCACGTGTGTTATGAATAAATCTTCTTTTTTCGGTACCGGTACTAGTTTTATTTTGTTGTATTTATCCGCGACTCCTTAAAGGCCGGTCCGTGAAAATATTGTCGGGCACAAACCGGTCTGTGGCGCAAAAAAGGTTGGGGACCGCTGATTTAGGTAACCAGTTACTTTATAACAAATCTAATGAAAAGTTAAACTGCTGTCACACAGAAAAACCTGACAACCTATAAGAACTGAACCACCTTTCAATGATGCTTAATTAGTGCAGACACCCACAGACTGTCAGATTTCAGTAAAGTTAGATAACTGTAGGCCGTAATGCTACATGGACAGAGCAAATCAATCGAGCGTGGTTCGTGTAGACTGTGCGATGGCTTTGATACATGGCTGTTAGCCTTCAGCTAATTTCTTTGGCAGTCATGATAACAGCAGAGGACACCTTATACAAACAAGGCTTCTGCTGCTTTGACCACCATCATACTGTCGCACTTGCATCAACCGGGATAATCAACATTTTAAACGGGCAGCTTGAACACTTGGATAAACCAACAAGTTCATGCCGTCACTAATGTGCAGTGCCGTGTTTAGAACAGAGCTACAGAAAAACACTCTACATGCAGCCCTGGAAAGTCAGACATGTATCCACTGGGATGGCATCGGTGTGACATGTATCTACCAGTTCTCTTCCTAATGACAGCAGGGTTAAACTATGGCAGGATCTTGTGCCGGCCTCTCAGTCTGCTGTGACTGATGTGTTCAGATGGTGGTGCAGAGCAAGGTGACATGTAGCTGAAGAAGTGCAGCCAAGAAAGCTGCTAATCCGTCTGATCAAGTATCTCCTGTGGGAATCTGAGATCCTTGCACGAGTTCTCCAAACGAGTCCATGCTGCATACACACTATGATACCCTCTATGTCTGAATGCATTTCACCCCACCACATTATTACTCTATAGAGTAGCATGAGGGAGAGAGCTTCATGTTCCGTTTTAGTCTAATCAAACACTTCTTTCCGATTTTCAAATTTAATGAACTTAAACCATAAATCCTAGAACTCTCTTATTGATCTGGTTCTTGAGTGAATTAGTCCAGCTGTCATGCTGGAAAAAACGTTTCACTAAGTGAGTTTAAAAAGCTCTGTGGCTCTCAGCCAGCTGTACCACACTAAAGGCAAACTGGCTCACAAACATTGAGCGTGCCAAAACCACTGGTGTATCACATCGACACATGAGGGGTCCTTCGGCAGAAGCACATGACACACTGAGTTATAACAACAGTGTCACTTCCTACTCGTCATATATTGATGTCTTGTGGTGAAATAGCAACGACCTGAGTGTAAAAAAGCCAAACAAAGCAAAACCAGGTAAAAAAAACAAACAACAAAAATAGGATGTACACATTCTCCTGACTTCTAAACAGAGACTCTGTGGATCTATAAAACTCTCAGCATAAATATTCTTATGATTTTGCACCATAGAGTATATACAACTGTTGAAATTACACATCTGCCTGATTTTCTAAATGATTCCTTAATAAATGTGAAAAGCTTCAGAATGTTGTTGAACTTCTTCATAATTATTACAGAAAAAAGAAGGATGTTTGTTCCATACGGTTATTACAGAATGATTTTACTCTTATGGTTCACTTGAGATGAAACTTCGGTTTACGCAGTTCATAATCTAAATTGGAGTTCTGCTACAGGAACATCAGAGGATAGATGTTACATGTGCATCAGATTTGTGTGCGACACAGTCTTGTAAAGAACCACTTCAGCTTTAGAGCTTCAGGTCAGAACTTCTGGTTCAGACTGAGAACAGGAATCAATGTCTGCTTGTTTTGTAATATGCAATTTCTCAGGTAGCTTCTTCTACCCAAGATGTCTTCATCATTGGCCTCCAACCTCCGACACAGCATGTCTGCCTACTTGAGTTACTACATTAATGTAGCAGCTTGCCTTAAGTCGCAGAAAACCATCTTCATTTAGCTCTCATTCTGTCTGAATGGCTGTCTTTCTGAGGACAGTCAGACTGATAGAAAGAAGGCTGACAAGGTAGGAGAAGCCTAGGATATACATTTCATATTTGAGGAGACATTCATTCGCTCAGATGCTACGACGGGAATCTTCTTTCATGCTGACAGGTGAATCACCAGCATCTGTTTTCCACCTTGATTATGAGCATTAAGTGGTTCTCTTACTAAACTGTTAACTGTAGTATCACAGCATCACACATCTCCGCTTGTTAGATCACAAACTCACACCAAAAACATCTGTATTAGAACACACGGTGACTAGCCAACTTTATAAGTAATTAAATATCAACCAAGTGCTCGGCAGTGAAAACACAAAAGAGTCTCCGCAATCGCACACAGCCTGTGAGCTACTCACCCTCCGTGGAGCTGTCTCTGCAGAAGCAAGAGACCACAAATTAAAGCCAACATAACTGGTTAATAGGAGAGTGTGTACATGAAACAGACCAATTAAAGATGAATATTCAGTCAGGAAGCAAACATTAGCATGATGTGGTTATATATTCAATATATCTGTGGTAACAACTGATGAAATCTAATCTATTTACATAGTGAGTATGAATAATGAGCGGTTCTTTTTAAAGTTCTTCTGGTAAGACTGGCAAATGGTATGTAATGAGTCAGACCATAAAACAGCAATATATAGAGGAGCAGCAACATACTGAAGGGCAGCAAAGACCATATGAAAGAAATGATGATCATCAGAGAAGCACTCAGCTCTGTCAGTCCACATCAAACAAATAGCTGCGGCACACAGAAAGCCACTGCTTTACTGTGGAGCCGTATCAATACTATTAGCATAGGGCACACCATTTATCTTCAGTAAAGTGGTCTGAGACAGACATTGAGAGCTCGCCTTAATGCTAAGTGGGAAGCTCTGGAGCTGTACGTTGTTATGGAGATATACACAAGCTCCCTGCTCTTGTATACATCTGACACTTCACAACAGCTACTAAATACAAGCACATCATAATGCATGTTGAGTAAATAACTATATGAGAAATGTCATGCAAGTGGGGTTTCTATGCTTATCCACAGAACTGTGTTCCTGAGATGACCATATTAGGAATATACACTCAAACTGGTAGAAATAAATAGCGATTAGAGAACTCTGAGATTTTTGCTCAAAGACATTACATACACATACACTGACCGTGTTATTCAAAGCCATTTCTACCACACTTAATTAGGTATACCTTGCTAGTACCAGCTTGGACGCCGTTCAGAACAGTCTTAATTTTTAGTGGTAGCTTGAAGCATTCACCACATAATTTGGTCTATATTGACATGACACTATTATGCAGTTGCTGCCGATTTGTCAGCTGAACATTCAACCACAATTTAAAGGTATTCTACTGAATTGTGATCTGGTGACTGTGGCGGCCATCTGTGTGCAGTCAACTGTTTGAGATGATGTGAGCAATGTGATATGACAAGTTATCCTGGTACAAGAAAGATTAGTACACTGTGGTCATAAAGGGATGAGCATGGTCAGCAACAATACTCAGGTAGGTTGTGGCATTTTAGCAATGCTCTATTGGTAGTAAGGGGCCTAAAGTGTGCCAACAAAATATCACATGCATTATCACCCAGAGAAATGTTGCTCACCGGATATTCTCTTTTTTGGACCATTCTCTACAAACCCTACGGATGGTTATGTGGGAAATCCCAGTAGATCAGCAGTTTCTGAAATACTCAGACCACCCAGTCTTGTACCAATAACCATGCTGTATTTAAAGTCACATTCAGTACTTGGTATGAAGTTCAGCAGGTCATCTTGACCATGCCTGCATGCCTAAATGTACTGAGTTGTTCCTGTTGGATGTTTGCGCGTTGGTGGTTAGCAAGACTGGAGTGACCATTAGCCTC